CACAAAAGGCGCCAGACGGTTTTCCTTGTCGTACTTCTCTGCCCCTTGGTTCGGGAAAGACTACAGATGCAGCCACCCTGGTCCATGAACTAAGCATCTGCTGTCACCCCGTGAAAAAAGCCCAAATGTGAATGCGGTTTCATCAGTATTTCTACAGTCCGCTTGTCACGACTTGTTTGGGCTTGTTTCAACTCGTACGAGTCCAAACGAGTCCAAACGAGCCGCAAGTCACAAGTTGACAAGTAGATCCAAAAATCCCACAAGTTGAGTCGCGAAATCATTTGACAAGTTCCAACAAGCCAACAAGTTGAGAAAAGCTGTAAATTGATTTTTGGTATTCAATAACAAAGGAGCAGTAGCTATACTAGGTTATTGTATAGTATTAGCAGGAAATACTTCAATAGCTATGAGGGAACGACGGTACACCAATTAGGGTCGTATTGGGTATATATCGAGTGAATAGAAGATGTTGGGGATGATGGATGTGAAGTACGAGGAAGATACTGTGGAGGCAATGGTACTCCCCACAACGCCAGTGCATCCTGCCCAGCTGACGTATCGCTGAATTGCCGTGAAGTTGCGGTCATACCGGGGTGGTGCAAAGGTCGACGGTAGGCCTCTAAAGTAGAAATATCAGTAAAACATCGGCTGAAAAGTTCAATTTCGCCAATCGTGAACCAGGGACTGCTTACCTTCATCCTGGGCAAAGGGCGCAATGTAGACGTACGGAACTCAGAGTCAGACACGATGTGATGACGACTGTATTGTTTAGCTACCTGTAGACGTACGGAACTATAGTAGAAGTAAATGTAAGTCTCGGATAAGTAAATATAAGTAGAAAAGATCTCACCTCAGAGTCAGACACGATGTGATGACGACTGAGGTGAGAGAAAATAAAGTTCAGGTTTATATATACGAAAAACGGTGGCTTGAGTAAAGACTGGTAAATAACGGAGGCAAAAGTATGGATAAAAGAAAAGGATAAACGCATTAGGAAATGCACAAACAGAACGTACGCGTAAACAGTGAGGTCACGAGGGGTCTCCTCTAACACGCAAGGGCGCTCATGTCCGCCACTATAGAGGTCATGACGCTACCAGGCGGAGATACGCTTGAGTGACGAGGAACGTACTTTTGACGTTGACTACCTGTGAGTGAGAAATGATCAACGTCTTCAACGGGTGGGCCAAAGGAAGGAAAAACGCACCATGTCGTGCCACCACTTAATACTTATCAACGTCGATATCCTTGACGAGACTTCATACGCCGATCCCAGCATTGTTGGCGAGGATATCGACCTGGCAAAATGCATATTTCACTGCCTGTTCAAGGACGCTGACAGCCTCCGGCGAGGTTGTGTCAATACTCACCACCAGGACCTGGCCTTGCTGTTGATCTTCAGAGTTTCCACTTTTGTTTCCTCCTGCTTCTGCACATTCCACGCCCCTAGGACCAAGCCGGACACACCTGCCTTGGCAAAGGCTAATGCGATTCCCTTTACAACAGAAAAGGGAACGTTAGAGTCTGGAAAACTCAGATTTGACTGGAACATACCCTATGCCCTGACTCGCTCCAGCGATAAGAACCGTTCTACCAACCTGTAAATCAGGAATGACAGCCTGTGGAGCAGGTTAGACATCTTGATGATGATGCGTTTCCGTGAATTGGCAGGGAGAGACGGGAAACATGGGAGGGAAAGCATCAGCCGTCATGCACATGCGTAACTTGGTTACAGCTTATTATATAAGCAAGTCGAACCACTTTTCGCAGTCTTCTCTCAGACACAATGTCCGCCAAATTTCTCTTGTGTTCCCCACTCTTGCCGACTATGCTTTTGCCACTCTAAGATGCCTTTCTACTCATGCAGCGACCGTCATAGTAGAATCCGCAACTTAATTGGTCCGACACGACACGACACGGCAATGCACATCAGGTCCAACACGACACGACAATACACCACCGTGGATGTATTCGCTCCAATCCCAATTGGCGTAACGTGTATGCGCGATACGATGCTGTGTTTGTAGAGACCGAATCGGAGCTTTCTGGCATGTGGGGCACGATGATTGGGTGCGTCCTCTTCTTTTCATTCAATTTTGGCAATCATTGTCACTCACTCGCTCTTGCAAGTGATAGTCCGGCTTTACGCCTCCCGTTCGAAAGAAACGGGCACCATAATCTACAAGTTATTGTTGGAATCCATTGCGTGTGCAGCCCCCTTTTTGGTTCATCTCCTCTCCCGGAGGATTTCCATTTTTCTCGATCATTGGACGCATTTCGTGCTATTTTCGTTAATCAGTACACTGATCAGCATCATACACATAAATTTTACAAGAGTAACT